GTGCGTCCCCACTGTTTCCTTTCTTCTCTTTGCTGGAATCAGAGACGAGCCGCCATTTTACCCACCATAGGTAACATTATCAAATTGTGCAGTCTAAAGATTGGTGACACTGAATTTCATAGCAATTGGTTTCTGCGACAAGAACACATATTTGTGGTACATTTATTTGTGGCAAAGATCTTATTTTCACTTTACCGAGTGCCTAGTAGGTAATGTGCGGATTACCTAGATACTCTGCACATTATCTAGGTAATTTGAGAAATGGAACAATTTTCACAACTTTAACGGATCACGCTAGTTAATCTGCAGATTAACGAGTTTCGAGCTTTAGCGGTAACATAGATATAACCATATTTATCGATCATTTACTAGTTATATAAATAACAACAACTCAAAGCCCGAATAGCCCGATATTTAGGCGATCGTTTGGTAATTTAATATATACTATTCGGGCTTTGAGTTGTTGTTATATATATATACCTCGCCGTGTGTTACGTTAGCTGGCTGAGTGCCATTGGGGTCGTGGGCGATGGAGTCGTCCCCAGTCAGTGATGTGTTTAACCGAGTAAGGTTATATCTAATCTAATATACTTCTGGAAGCGAAGACTCGCTCGGGGTCCGGGTGGCGTGGCTGGCAAGCGGAGGTTGCGGGTTCAGGCCCCGTCCCGGGCCAGTTCTTTTATTCCAGAAGATTCTAAAATTTATTTAATTTATTTATTTAATTTTAATTATTAATTTTCTTAAGAGATGGCGCCTAACGCCTACCTCTAATGCCAAATTACTTTATTCCAATCATTTAATTATAGCCCGATATTTAGGCGATCGTTTGGTAATTTAGTTATATTTAAATTAAATTAATTTTTTTGAAAGCAAACCTCGGAAGACTGTCTGGGTAATCTATCTGCACGGAAACCCAGAAGTTGTGGGTTCGAGTTCCGCTCTGGATCAATATTTTCTTCCAGAATATTCGAAATTAAATGTTTTTATTTCTGATTATTAAATTTAACACAGACAGCGGCTTAACTTCCTATCTCTAACTAAATTTCTTAATAACATACTGTATAGGGCTACAATAATAAGAATCCAAGTGTATCATTTCATTAATAATGTCTATCCGGTTGAATTCTACATGTAATTACAATGATTAACAGACTATTCAGAAATTTCAGAAATTTAAAATATTTACGAGGTAGAGTCAAAATGCTTCAAACTTTTAATACAAGCTTTATTACACAATAGACAGATGACAGATGACCCATGAATTCCTCATTTGCCTATGCTTCATATATACTGGAAGTCTTTTATCGTATAAAGAACCACGTGATATTGAATTTAACACTATATTTTGCTAAAATTGCATTATAATATATATATATATATATATTTCAATTTGAAGATAAACAAAATAAAGGTTCTTATTAGTTAGAATTATTTCATTAATTTTTATGCAGCGTAAACAAAAGGAAAAAAAAACGTTCATAATTTGGAGTTAAAATTAAAATAATCAATTTAAAATTGAATTCAAATATATAATAAGGCTGTAAATTAAAAATTGTAAAGATTTTTTTGTAAATACTATATATGTATTACATAGGTCTAATTACCACATCATCGCACAATTATTTTTGTTAGGATACTTTCAGATAAGTATGAAACTTGTACGATTTACACTTTTAGAACAAAAAAAATTATCATCTTTAATATTTAGTGAAAGTGAAGATTTCACTTTCTAGAAGCTCCTCAACAACACGAGTCTAATGTGCCCTGGAGTTATCATTCATAAAAACGAAGTCTTCACCAATGACACCTCAGAACAGATACGCGGGAAGGAACACTTGTTGACACTAGCGATCTCCTGTAACAGTACTTCCTTCGGAAATTTGGAGCTCAGACCACCCGTTCATCATAATATCTCTCCAAACAAACACACCAGGGGCCGTATTCTGGTCACCGTCTCTGGTCTCTCGTCTCTCACAAGCCAGTCGCTGATTGGCTAATCCAAATGATTAGCCAATCAGCGACTGGCTTGTGAGAGACGAGAGACCAGAGACGGTGACCAGAATACGGCCCCAGGACCATCATAAGGGTCTCTTTTCACGGATAAAACCGTGCGACCTCTTCTTATTAACAACTGGCATTGGGAATCACTTGTAATACTGAAACGACTCATCTGTAAAGAAGACGTGATTCCATTGATGAGATGTCCAGTCTTTGTGTTTCTTACGCTAGTCTAAAGATGCTTGCCGATGGGCAGTTGTCATGGGATGCAGTGTTTAGGACAGTACTGTATGTGAATAGGCCACCTTTATGAAGGCATCTGGCCACATTAAACTGCGACACTTTTTGTCCCATTGTCGTACGCAGCTGATGAGCAATGTTGCCTGCTGACTGGTATCGATTTCTTTTCTCCTGCAGGACATATATCAGTCATCCATTGGCATTGTTTTTTTTTACGACCACAACCAACCTTTCTTACAGCTGTACCTGTGGTTTGGAAGGCTTTCCATGCTCGTAAAACAACACTTTTGTTAATTCCAAACTCTTGGGCTACCCTCGTCACACTACGCCCACCTCAAGCTTGCCGATCATTCTACCACGTGTAAAGTCATCCAGATGATTTCTTCTAGTCATATTGCACGTACAAACTTGAACTTGCAGCAAATATTTTTAATAGCGTCTTTTGTCCTTCTTTTTATTGTAATTTTGCACTGCGCGCGCTGACTGCACACGTTTTTCGTGTCCTCACGTCACCCGTGAAGTCTTCTTCCTGATATTTGCATACGAATCACTTTTCTACTAAATTGGGTGTTCATTGTACTGATCGAAAAAGCCCTTTGCTACAGTTTCACGGCTCTCTGCTTAAAAATTACATTGTTGCTTAAGTTTTGCACGCCAGTGTATTTATTCTTTACTGTAATTTCGTTTATAAATGATGTCCAAAGAAAAATGTTTTTATTAACATATACCATTAAAATCTGATTAAAAACAAGATTTTTATCCATATTAATCTTCATTTCATGTTTTTCTTGAGCAATTAGCAAGGATATGAACAGTTAGTCAGTTCAAGGCATCTATAATTCCATTATTCCTATCATAAGTGGTTGTAAGTTTGTGCATATTTCCATTATGTTTATTTAAATTATATTGACTTGAAAATATTTTTTCACATACTGCGCAGGACATAGTATGCATGACACAGTACACTTTAATCTAGCAACAACAATGACAATGATAACAGAACCTATCTTTTACTTCCAGTATATATGGCTCATGTGCAATTGACGGAATTCTTGGGTCATTTAACACTCGTCAAAAAGAGTCTTATTCAGCTACACACTTCTGTCAGCATCCATATTGTCAAAGCAATCCTGGAAGCCGTATTTTTATGATGTCCCGAGAGAGCTTTCGTCTCTGCGACTTCTACCTTGCTTTTAACCGGTCGTTTCTTGTTCACAAATATTTCACAAGAAAGGACAATATTTTCACAACTTTCTTTCTCCCTGAGCGTGTCTCCAAAAATTTTATCTGTTTCCTAAAATAAAAGAATGACTTAAAGATTGCACGTTTATTTTTAAAATGTAAATTAGTACTTTAAAATATGAGCTTTTGAAGTTTACCATTCCTCATAATTAGATTTGTCTTTAAAAATTTAATAATATTTTTAGGTGTATGATGCTATCCAAGATGAAGAAGTGGGAAAACAGTTGCAAACTGTGGCAAAAGGAGAGAGAGATGATGTTGCCATTATAGAATTTTCTGCAGCATCTTGTGCCATTATGGAGAATGCTGGACATGTTACTGTTACTATTCTTCGTCACGGAAAAATAGATAACGGAGTATCTTGCATGTATGTTAATTAATATTTTAATGGTCTAGTGTTTTCGAGGCTATCATCAGGTTCGATCTGTATAAATATTGGTGGGACGAGCAAATGATAATGAGTAAGAAAAATTTCTCATTGTCGGGTTTTCAGTAAAAAATAAGATACATTTATCGTGTATGCATTGTACGGTAAGGACAAAGTGTAAGGTTCGTAGAAAAGCTTTTCTAAGAATATTTCCAAGCCTTTCACACACAAGGGTAAACGGATTGGGGCGTGAGGTATAAGTTTATGGAACTAAGGGGCTCGAAAAAGTTTGAATATCACTATTCTAAACGTTCAAATAATTTTTCCTTCAGTTATTAAGTAAAAAACCGAAACTTAGTATTAAGTTATTTTATTTAAAATTCTTCAATTTTTAAATTTTCTGTTTTAAATTAATTGTTGTTATATAGTAAGAAGTAATTTTTTGTTGGATTGTTCGATAGATTTGAAACAATAGATGGGACTGCAATAGCGGGAGAAGATTACATAGAAAAGAAAGAATTGGTAGTTTTCAAATCAAATGAAACAGAGAAGAATGTTTTTGTAGAGATAATTGATGATAATCAATGGGAACCAGACGAAACTTTCTTCTTAAAATTAAGTTTGTGCGAAGAAAAAATCGAAGATGTTGCTTTAGGAAGAACTTGTATCATGGAAATTATTATTTTGAATGATGACAGTGCGCTAGCATTTTATTTTAAACCTTACATTAATTATACTGTATTAATTTTAATTATAAGTAAATTTAACACTTTTATAAATATTGTAGCTCCCGGCATTTTAGAATTTAAACAAAGAGGTATTATTGTGAAGGAGAATGCTGGCACTGTTTTAATACCTGTTGTAAGAAAACATGGCGCGGATGGCGATGTCTCTTGTAAATGGAGAACAATTAATAAATCTGCTTTCAATGAAAAAGATTTTACTGGAGGACGTGGAAAACTTGTTTTTCAACACGCAGAAGTGGAGAAAAATATCGAAATTTCTATTATAGACGACTTTGAAGCAAAAAAAGATAAACAATTTGAAATTGTACTTTACAAACCGAAAAGAGGAGCTGTAATTGGCCAAATTAATAGAACAATAATTACCATAACCAATGATGATGGTAAGCAAAAATAATATTTATTAAAACAATTTTTAATAAATAATATCGTCTATTATTATTTTTCAGAATTTCAGAATGTTGTTCAGAAACTAATGAGGTTAACTAATACGAATTTACATTCTCTTCAACTGCAATCAGAAACGTGGATTGAACAACTCAAAGATGCTATGAATGTTAATGGAGGAGATTTAGAAAATGCAATTCTGATTGATTATATTTTACATTTTGTCACTTTTGGCTGGAAAGTAGGTTATTTACTTTTTTAAAGAAATTCTCTATTTTAGATCCCCGTTTAAAACAGGCTTGAAGACATATTTTATTCAACTATCAGTATATTACTTCTTTTAGGTTATATTTGCTCTCGTTCCTCCAACATCTATACTTGGAGGATGGTTAACATTTTTTGTATCTTTGCTTGCTATTGGAATATTAACAGCGATTATTGGAGACATGGCATCTATTTTTGGCTGCTTAGTTGGATTGCCTGACACTATAACGGCTATTACATTTGTGGCTCTCGGAACATCACTACCAGATTTATTTGCATCAAGAGCTGCAGCCGTGCAGGAAAGATATGCTGATAACGCTATTGGTAATATTACTGGAAGCAATTCAGTCAATGTGTTTTTAGGAGTGGGACTTCCATGGGTGATTGCATCTTTCTATTGGACATCACAAGTATGGTTTTATTCTAAATATTTTATTTATAACTTAACTATATTAAATGTTCGCGAAATAATTCAGTCAACTACTAAATTGAAGACACCAATTAAATATTCATAAAAATTAATTTAAAAACTTTATAGACTTAGTAAAGGATAGAATTTGAGATAAAATATATGTATCAATTAAAATCTTAATTTGAGAATAATTTTCCACTTTTATTTCAGGGAAAGAATTTTCAAGTGGAGGCTGGAACTTTGGGATTTAGCGTTGGAATTTATTCAATAATTGCTTTCGTTTGCATAATTTTACTATTGACAAGAAGATGTATAAATAAATGTGGGGGTGGAGAATTAGGAGGACCAACTTGTTTAGCCAATCTCTCTGCAATTTTCATAGTTCTTCTTTGGATTATATATATAATCTTATCCTCACTTAATGCTTATGATGTATTTAAGAAAAAAACAAACGAATTCTTGTAAAATAATTTTAAAAAAATTTTAATAATGATTTCTAAATTCTTCGTAGAATGATATATAATCTGAAAAAAAATGTAATGTGTGAATTATTTCGATACAAATAAGATTAAACTATCTTTATGAGAATTTATATGCATACCAAAAATAAACTAAAACATTAAATACGAAGAACTATATCTGAAAATGATATACAGTATTTGTTTAAATTTAAAACTAAAAAATATTCTTACGTTTCGTTTTGAAAAACTGTATTATAAAAATTTTTGTATTGTAAAATTGTAGCTCAAGGAAATGAATTGTGTCTGTTAATCTGTCTTCCCTTAATCTCGAGAACGGAATTAGATAGATGAAAATCAAAAGAGATATGGAAAGCTTAGGGGAAGGAGACTCCGATTAACTATATAAGAACTTCCGATGCAAACTGAAAGTCACGTTATTTCAACTAAAATATTTATCCCCAGAAAGGAGTTAATAGATGACCAACACAACTCTATTATTAAAAGAAAAGTATGATGTACAAGGACAAGACACTGCATTACTAATTTGAAGCAGACATCATATATTTTAAATTAAATAAATTAATAAAAATATGATTAAAAATTGCAGCCCGGCATTGTGACGATGTTTTCAATTCAAAAGTTTTCTCATGAATTTTCTTCGAAATTTGATAGATCAGTGGTCCCCAACCCCCGGGCCGCGGACCGGTACCGGTCCGTGGATCAAACGGTACCGGGCCGCCCAAGGAACATTAAATTATTTCCACTTTATTTACTATGGTGTATTTCCTCGGGTTTGTGCGACTTTTAATGGACGACGGAACAACAGAATAAACTGGACATAAGAAACACACTTCGGGTGTCATTGTCTCCTATACCCCCAGAGGGAACCGTCTCGTTGCAATGAAACAAGCTCAGGGTTCTCATTGATTTAGCGTTCTAGTGAGTTAAAATGTTAAATCACATTATATTCATTTTTTGGTGTAACTGTATTTTATGTTGAAGGCATGTTTAAATACAGTAATACCCCGACTTACGCTACCCCGACTTACGCTAACCCGGAGTTACGCGATTTTCAAATCTCGTCGATTCGTCTTTTGTTTGAGCGTCACGCAACTCTTGATTACTCATTCCCCCCACACTATTGTTCATCTTACATGTTCGGACGTGTCGCGCGGAATCCACATATAGCTACAATTAATTTTGTGTTATTTATTTCTGTGTTTATTATATCTACGGAGACTTGAGAGACTCTACTATGTCATCTAAACGAAGTAAAACTGATTCTTCTGCATCAAACAAGAAAAGAAAAACTTTATCTTTTGAATGTAAAGTTAACATTGGGTACGTTCGTAAAGTCGAACGAGTTAAACGAGAATGACGTCATTGTTATTCTTATTTCGTTAGACTTTTCGAACGATTCGTTACTAACCTCGTTTAACTCGTTTGACTTTACGAACGTACCCCATTATTGAAGAGTTCGATACAAAAATGAAAATTTGTGAATTGGCAAAGAAGTTTGATCTACCGGAATCGACAGTGAAAACAATTATAAAAGGCAAAGAAAAAATTCTCGAAGCTGTGAAAAATGCTCAATCTTTAAATTCAAGCATCATTCATAAACGTCACGGTATTATCGCTGAGATGGAAACAATGCTAAAATTATGGTGTGATAATCAAGTAAATGTGAAAAATTGTATAATAATATAATTTGTTATATATAGGCCTATGTATTATATAAGATTTTATTAAACATTTTTTTCTAAATTATTGTTTTAATTAGTCTCCGGCCCCAATTAAAAATTATTTGTATGTATTTATATGAGAAATTATACCCCGACTTACACGAATTCGACTTACGCGGTTATCGCTCGGTCCTACCTATCGCGTAAGTTCGGGGTATTACTGTACAATTAAATTAAAATTATTAAATTAAATCAATCTAAAATGTAAACAAACAACGTCCGCCCTCAGTGGGCCGCGGTAAAATTATCAAACTTTGACCGGTCCGCGGCGATAAAAAGGTGGGGACCGCTGAGATAGATGACCAGCATGACTCCATTGTTAATAGGAAAAGTATGACGTACAGAAGCAAGACTCTACAGATTTTCCTCGTATAACACTGTGGTTACGTTTCGAGAAAGTGCCGTGTTACGGGATCCGTGCTATACGAAACATGGAGTAGGTTCCAAAAGTTAGCAAAAGCAAATACTATTGTTTTTCGTTACTAAGAGAAATATATTTATGAAAACAATTAATAATTTATTTCCAATCAAAATTTAACTAACAATCACAACTAAAATTAATATTACGCGTTAATATTAATTTTAGTGAAAAATGCCGTTGACGGGGCCCACCAGTAGCTGAGTGGATAAAACCACTGAACACTGGTCGTGGGTTTCGCGCCTCGCCAACAGGCTGACCACGTGGAGTTTTCCGGGTTTTCATAATGTTAGTAACATCTAAATATAGGCCAGATTCCCATAGAAAGCTTATTCCGAGAGGCATCCCCCAGTGTTTAGCGATTTTATCCACTCGGCCACTGGTGGACTAATTTGGAGTGTCTGATAATCACCAACATGCTACTATTACGTGATTGGAATATGCTTGGACATATGGTACACAAAAGACCTTGGGCGGAAATACATATGAAAAATGAATATTATATGCACATGAATCATTGTGAATATTAATTTTGCGTAATAACCTGTTCATGAACTTTTTATAAGTTTTTCCAATAAATTTGAACACAGTATATAGTCATATCTTGCAGACTGATTTAAAAAGAATAGGTGAACAAATCGAAAGCATACAACAGCATGTGTGAGTCTCTGGACAGGTGCGAACCCTCACTAAAATACCCTCGTTAAAATAATTTTGTTTTTAAAGTAAAAAATATAGTAGTTAGAAATAGATTTTTTTTATATGAAAACGCAACGCTAACTTTTAAACAATAGAAGAATGTAAGTCCGTGGACCATCTTCAGTTGGAGATCGAATTAAATTTCGATTTTGACCTCTCCCGCGCCCCCGAAAGGTTTCGAATTGTCATCAGGTGACAAGGAGAGACCAATGAGAAAGTGGAATCGGAGGAAAACGGATAAAACCCCGGAAATTCAAGGACGCGAAGGCTTTTTCTCCCGAAAGTTTCAAGTAACGGATCTATTGTGTGTGTGTCTCGCGCCCATCTTCGTCTCCATCTCTTGACCTCGGATCGACATCTTTCCATCAACGGATGTCGACCGCATCGTCCCGGAGTCTCCGAGACGTGATGGAATTGTTCATTCGCGAACAAGGGACACTTCTTCAAAATGGGACTATCTTGGAAAGGAGAGGAATACCCAGAGGCCGCAGCCGACGTAGAACTTCCAAGATCGCGGAAATCTTCTAAGCTTCTTTCGTGTTTATAAACGGGTTGTGTTATTGTAAACGAGACATCTATCTCTGACTCAACTGCTTCCACATGTCGTTGATTGTTTCCGCTCAGCAGTCCAAATGCAAGGGAGACGATGACGATATATATCACATTTTATCGTTCATTGAGTTTTTTTAAATTTTTCCCCCCGGCCCCCACATATGCGCTAGTACAAAATCTGCAGCAACATCTGTAACGTTTGAATAGCATAACCTGTTGAATTTTGAGAAAATACAAAAGCGTCCTATAAATCGGTATTTCGGATAATCCGGCACCATTCCGGTTCCATAAAGTGCCGGATTAACAAGCTTCTATTGTAATTAAAAATTCTTATGTAAATATATTTATAAAACTAGTTATTTGGGTCTCATTCTTTGCAAGTTTTAAACAAATCTGTCATTTTTTTAAAATCAACATTATAGTCGAAATTATTTTGGAATAATTTGAACAATTAAAAAAAAAGATTGATTATCTGAATATAATGTTAGATGACCCGTTGTTAGTCTATTAGTTAAAAATACTTATTACGTCCAAACAAAAATATTTATAAATTTTATACATCCATATTGAATCAATTTATAATATCAACCTCAAGAATTGCAAACCTAAGAATCATGCAACAGAGAAAGAACTATTAATATTTCCTTCTCCTCAAACATTTCCATTTGACAAGGGTAGTGAGCCATCTGTATGCGGTCTGTGATCATTACTCCCACATACTTTAACCACGTGGTTTTAGTTTGCGACTGTAACAGGAAAAATTTATTGCAAAGTCTAAAATCTTTTAAAAGTTTTCTTGTGTGTGTTAAATTTTCTTGTCATTAATTCTGAATTGATTCAATATATTCTGCAGGTAAGTTTTTAGTTTTTTCTTTAATGATGATTTTTAAATTACTAACTTAAACTGTGACCGATTATAAAAATCGTTTTAACAAATTGATATCAATTTTGACTATAAATATGCCATATCAAAAAGAGAGAATTAAAAACAATTAATAATATTAATTTATAAAAATTATAATTATCAGCTTACTGCTACTGTTTAAAATTATATTAACGGCGGTAATCTTCGAGAAAAAAATTAAAAGGAGAGAAAAAAATTTATTCGCAAAGGTTTCGCAAGAGGTTCGCAAAAAGAAAGTGAAAAATCTTTTTCCAAATATGTTTACATCTACTTCTACTTTTTAACATTTCGTACTTTAAATGGATTGAAATATCAAATGAAGATGTTTGTAATAAAAGCCTACAAATAACTATTGAATAGGCTCTAAAATTATAAATGTCGGCACTAGTTCAGACTGATAACGATTGAGCGTTATCAGCCATATGTTGAGGCTGATTGCGCGAAAAGACAATAAAGTAAGAATTTTTAAATGGGTCATTATAGTAACGACCTGAATTTAAGTTATTTCCCTTATGTCTGGAATATTAAGTCCAAAAATTGTAAAGCATATTAAATAAAAAATATAAGACAATTAATTCAATTATATTAGAATGGCATTTTTAACGCGTTAAATTTTACTAATTAATATTTGCTCTTATTAACAATGCCACATGATCCTCTCCTATGGCATTTGATTTCTTATTTCCTCCCCTTCGTTATATGATTTTAGCTTTTTTTTTCTTTTCTTTTTTTAATGCAGGAAAGAATTATCATAATACAGTTTAAGGGATATCCTTGTTAGGTCTGGTCAGAGTCGGTAGATTAACTCTGGGTCTGGTTACTTAAAATAGATGAAAGTAAGCCTGATTCAATATTCTATTTGGAT